GAATCTCCTTCTGGTTGTTGCCATACAATGCTGATCAAAGGACTTTGATTCCATACAATGAAGCCTTTATAGTAATTAACTTATAGCCACAGGCACCATGTAAGTCATCTTGAGATTGTTTAGCTATGGAGGGTATACATTCAAATTCAAATAAATAAAAAGAGATCTAGATGGTGCCAGAGCATGATTATTGACAATCTAGTTAATCAAAGAGTGTTTATTGTTACATTTATTGCCATACACCGTTGATTAATTAATTCTACAAACAAAAACAAGGGGCAAAACAGCTGTTTTTGTGTTTCTGGCATTACCTCCATCTTGATCTAATTATCTTTGAGGATTCCAGCTCTGTCTTTTCCAAATGACACAGTCTTTGCACCAACCATTGTCTCTTTCTGATCCCATTTGTAGATGCCACCTTCCACCCACACTTCCTTCTCTATCTATCTGAAGTCACACAGCACATCCAGTCCCTCCACACAGCAGAAACCCACCATGCACACCTTCCAAAAACGTCCTAGGTTGCCTAACTCATCTGACTTTGATATATCACCAGCAAAAGACATTGCTGAATTTCCTTGACACTTTGCACAGAATTGGCATCATCATCACAACAAAATTAGAATAGAAATCTTTATTGGCCAGGTGTGATTGGACACACAAAGAATTTGCCTCTGGTGAATAAGGTCTCAGTGTACACACATAAAACAACAAAGTGATAGGTTACAGATCATAAATCATACTTGCAATCATTAATTATAAGATAAGAATAACAAATGTTTATGGAGATTCTCAGTCATCAGGTCATAGTTCTCCGAAGGTGCTTTTTCATGAGGCAACTGGACGTTCTTGATTTTTTCTTTGAAATCATTTAGCTTCTAATCAAAGAAGCTTCTTCAGCTCTGACTGTTGACATAGAGACCATCTATGTCAACAGCCCTCTCCCAACAGAGGGGGAAGGATACAACATCCTCTATCTCCAGTCTACAACACAGTCCTTTCAACAGTATCAAGAAGGCTCCTCACCTATTTGCACCACTCAGGTGACCTTGAGGATACAGATAAACCTCCAGGTGGCCTCAAGGACTCTCTAAAAGAATGCGAATGACCAGCTATCTGCAAGGAGTATAAATCCTTCCATTCTCCACCATCCAGTCAGAGCTGAAGAAGCTTCCTGGATGAGAAGTGAAACATCTTCAAAGAAAAAAAAAAAAGTTCAGTTGCCTCATGAAAAAGCACCTTTGGGATACAAATGACAAACGATAAATCATAAGACACCAATAGGAGAAGATATTATCTAAGAAGAAATTCTATAAGTGTCAAGTAAACCAGTCAGGAAATAGGACTAGAATAACTAATTCTGCTTTATTGTAAGGCTACATTAGCAAAATCCTGTAGATCTGAAAG